GTGGGTGAAGTAAGCAGGTTGAACTGATGAGTAGACTCTTGTAGGACCTCTGAAACTTTATCACTGTTGGCTAGAACATCCTTGACCATTTGCATTTGATCAAATGCCTCACTCATGCTATCCATAGGAGGCAACTCAATTCCAATCCCACTGAGATCTCTTCTGAACTTGTGAATCACTTCCTTGTGACCTTGACTAAGTAGGCGAGACGAGGAAGCGGCAACTATAAGGATCAAGCAAAACAGGCTGTCGGACAGAAGAGGTCGGACTCGATCGAGCTAGAGTTGGACTCGATCGAGCTGCCGATCGAGCTTGTCGTGCGAGCTCAACTGGTGAAGTGTGAATGGCCACAGTAGGTGCATGCACTTCTGGTTGATCAATCTGGACTCCAGGAGCCTCAGCAGCAACAATCTCTTCATCATTCAGCAGTAAACAAAAATCTTCAATGACCCTTTCTTGATCCTCTTCTTCAACAAGTCCTTCTTGAGTGAAGATGACCTTGCACTGTTCCTTGGGGTTCTGAATAGCTTTACCAGGTAGTTGTCCTTGCTTTGTAGCAGCAGCAACAGAAGAAGCATGATTCTCCAGAGAGTAAACCCTTGTGTTGAGGTTCTCGATCTTAGAGTTTATTTCAGCTAGCTTCTTGCTTGTGTCCACTACCCCATCAGCTTGCCCTTGAAGTAGTTGCTTTAGCATTGCTTTGAGCTCATTCTCTTGTGAAGGTGCAGGCTGGGGCGGTTGGTGGGGGAAGCCTGGTGGGATATTCATTTGTTGTCCAGGGAAAGTGCCTTGTGGTCCTTGGTAATTGTTCTTTTGTCCATACCCATGTTGTGGCACCTGACTCGATCGAGCTGCTTGTTGTTGAGGATATACTTGGTCCTGAGGGTTAGCAACATCAGTGTTGCGGTATGACATGGCAGGGTTGGACTTGTAATTATAGTATCCTTTGTTGTAACCTCCTTGCCCATTGCTCATGTAGCACACCTCAGCGAATTGTGTATCCTCCCCTTCTTGGACTGGTTCCATCTCCTCAGCAGACACAAAGTTGACTTTCTTCATTGTGGACTGAGCTAGGATCAGCTTATCCAACTTCTCATTCAATGCCTTAACATCTTTTCTCAACTTTTCGTCTGACTCGATCGAGTGGTGGGTCGAGCTCCGGTTGGTGCGATCATACTCTTCTCCATAGCTTCCATTTGAGTTAGCTATGTTCTCCACAAGTTGCCAGCCATCATCTACATCCTGGTTGAGGAAGTTCCCATTGCTAGCTGTGTCTAGCATCTCCCTATACCTAGGCAAGCATCCTCTATAAAGAGTGGAGAGGGATTCATTGTTGAATCCATGGTGTGGGCACTGACTTGTGTAGCCTTTGAACCTCTCCCAAGCCTCTGCGAATGTCTCATTGTTTCGCTGGATGAAGCTGGATATCTCTCCTCTAAGCTTGGCTGTGCGACCGGTGGAGAAAAATTTAGCAAGAAAGGCCTTCTTGCATTCATCCCAAGTGGTGATTGTGCCATGGGGCAAGCTCTTCTCCCATTGGTGAGCTTTGTCAGCTAGAGACATAGGAAAGAGTCTCAGCTTGATGGCATCTTCAGAGACACCATTGATCTTTGTCAAATCACAAAGCCTATCAAACTCATCAAGGTGGTCAATGGGGTCTTCACTTGGCAATCCATGGAACATCTTGTTCTGGACAAGGTTGATCATTCCCAGCTTGATCTCAAAGTTGTGGTTCTGCACTGGTGGTGGAACAATCCCTTGTCTCTGTTGGTGGCGGTTTGGAGCATCTCCTTGACCAATCGGTCGAGTTTGCCTAGCTCGACCGAGTCCATTACCCAAAGGGTTTCCATTCCCCTCTGGTACATCCATTGTATCAGCAACAAGCACCTCAGGTTCCTCTTGTACCCTCTGTGACCTCTGAACCCTCTTTCTACCCGTTGTAATGTCTAGCTTGATCGATCCAAGTACAATAGTGTTTGAAACTCAAATGCAACAAAAATATTCCCAAATCGGCAACGGCGCCAAATTGATGATAATTTGTGTGTGGATGTGAATGATATGAAATGAGATGAGGTGGAATGCAAACAGGGGTGAATAAAGATGAAATGGTGCAATCACAATCAATCAACAATTCCTCTTAACCATCATAGTCATTGAAGTATAAGAGGTTATCAATCCAAAATGGGAAACTTGTCACTCTTTGAGAATATGAAACAACCAGGAAGTCAAGCAAGCAGTTATAGATTTGAAGTAACACTAACAACCTAAAAAAAATGAAAAGCAGTGCAATAAAAGTAAACAAAGCAGTGAAGTGTCAGCTCGACCAAGAGCTCGAGTCGAGTAGGCAGAGTACCAGCTCGATCGAGTTTAGGGACGAGTTGAGACAAACAAAGCTAAAGGTGACGACTTTAACAAGATAAAGAGAATTAGGGTTCAAGACAGGGTTTTGCAATCAAAGGAATCTACACTTAATCAATCTAGCTCTTAAAACTCCTTGTATCAAGGCTTCTCTTGATATTGGGCTTCTCAATGCCTAGCCAACCCTTTCCCAAGGTGGAGGCTATCAACCAAGGAATGATCTCAGAAACAGGGGGTTAGCCAGTGAGAATCAAACCTTGGAGGCTATAGGATCATTGCCCAAACTAATCCATCCAACCCCTTAGACCTCTATTGTCTAGAGCAAGAGATATTGGAGCTCTTAGTGGATCTTTTCCAGCGAATGCCATCACTTTCGTGTGGGGAGTCGCCTAAGGACTTACAAGCCAGGGGTAGTGGTCATGTAGCCTTAAGATCTATCCAAAAGAGAGAGAATCTAGATTAAGACCATAAGCTAGAAGGATTAAGCATATGAAACCTCTAATCTATCCCATCTCAAACCCTAATGGGTAACTACTCACTACACATGAATGTAAACACAAGCAAATGCAATAAAAGAGACATCATAAGAAAGAGGAGATGAAATAAACAACTTTTATTGAAATAAGCAAGTGCAAATAGAGATCTAAGATTCAAGAAGCAAGAGCTTCAAGAACACAAAGATGGGATTAGATCTCTAAAAGTAAAAGTACAATAAATTAAAAGAAGCTAAAACAAAATAATCTAAAGCTTGGTGGTTTTTTCGTGGCTTAGAGCCTTTAAATACAAAGAGGATTAGGTTTAGGGTCAAAGGAAGTCAAGGGGGAAGCAACATTTTTCGGGTTTGACTTTGACTCCCCAGCTCGATCGAGTTGAAGCTTGGCCGGTCGAGTTGAGGAACTCGACCGGTTGGTCGAGTGGACGGTCGAGCTGGTCTTCAAGATGGCTTCTCCCTTCTTCCTTTGCGTATCCAGTTGAGCTGCTTCCATGTGCCAAGTCCCTCCATGCTCCTCATGTCCCATATGCTCCAGAATGCTCCAAAAGACCTATTTCAAAGGGCCAAACATGCATATGTATGCAAATGCAACCTAAAACTAACATGAATGCATAAGAAGAGAAAAGGAACAAGATATGATGCAAATGGAAGCTAAAACTATGCAAAAGATGCATAAAAGATGTGCTAAAACTATGTAAAATGCAAGTACTTTTTACTTAGTTTTAGCACATCTTTTATGCATCTTTTGCATAGTTTTAGCTTCCATTTGCATCATATCTTGTTCCTTTTCTCTTCTTATGCATTCATGTTAGTTTTAGGTTGCATTTGCATACATATGCATGTTTGGTCCTTTGAAATAGGTCTTTTGGAGCATTCTGGAGCATATGGGACATGAGGAGCATGGAGGGACTTGGCACATGGAAGCAGCTCAACTGGATACGCAAAGGAAGAAGGGAGAAGCCATCTTGAAGACCAGCTCGACCGTCCACTCGACCAACCGGTCGAGTTCCTCAACTCGACCGGCCAAGCTTCAACTCGATCGAGCTGAAGTCAAAGTCAAACCCGAAAAATGTTGCTTCCCCCTTGACTTCCTTTGACCCTAAACCTAATCCTCTTTGTATTTAAAGGCTCTAAGCCACGAAAAAACCACCAAGCTTTAGATTACTTTTGTTTTAGTTTCTTTAATTTATTGTCTTTTACTTTTTAGAGATCTAATCCCATCTTTGTGTTCTTGAAGCTCTTGCTTCTTGAATCCTTAGATCCTGGATAATTTCTTTGTATTTCACTTCCTCTTTCTTATGATGTCTATTTCATTGCATTTGCTTGTGTTTACATTCATGTGTAGTGAGTAGTTACCCATTAGGGTTTGAGATGGGATAGATTAGAGGTTTCATATGCTTAATCTCTCTAGCTTATGGTCTTAATCTAGATTCTCTCTCTTTTGGATAGATCTTAAGGCTACATGACCACTACCCCTGGCTTGTAAGTCCTTAGGCGATCCCCACACGGAAGTGATGGCATTCGCTGGAAAAGATCCACTAAGAGCTCCAATATCTCTTGCTCTAGACAATAGAGGTCTAAGGGGTTGGATGGATTAGTTTGGGCAATGATCCTATGGCCTCCAAGGTTTGATTCTCACTGGCTAACCCCCTGTTTCTGAGATCATTCCTTGGTTGATAGCCTCCACCTTGGGAAAGGGTTGGCTAGGCATTGAGAAGCCCAATATCAAGAGAAGCCTTGATACAAGGAGTTTTAAGAGCTAGATTGATTAAGTGTAGATTCCTTTGATTGCAAAACCCTGTCTTGAACCCTAATTCTCTTTATCTTGTTAAAGTCGTCACCTTTACTTTTTTGCTCAACTCGACCCAAACTCGATCGAGCTGGTGCTCTGTCCCAACTCGACTCGAGTCCTTGGTCGAGCTACTTTTTACCTGCTTTGTTTACTTTTATTGCACTGCATTTTCATTTCTTAGGTTGTTAGTGTTACTTAAAATCTATAACTGCTTGCTTGACTTTCTGGTTGTTTCATATTCTCATAGAGTGACAAGTTTCCCATTTTGGATTGATAACCTCTTATACTTCAATGACTATGATGGTTAAGAGGAATTGTTGATTGATTGTGTTTGCACCATTACCATCATCTTATTCACCCTGTTTGCATTCCACCTCATATCTTATCATTTCATTCATTCACATCACACACACACAAATTATCATCAATTTGGCGCCGTTGCCGATTTGGGATATTTTTGTTGCATTTGAGTTATCAACATCACTTGGACGTCGAGCTAGACATTACAACGGGTAGAAAGAGGGTTCAGAGGTCACAGAGGGTACAAGAGGAACCTGAGGTGCTTGTTGCTGATACAATGGATGTACCAGAGGGAATGGAAACCCTTTGGGCAATGGACTCGGTCGAGCTAGGCAAACTCGACCGATTGGTCAAGGAGATGCTCCAAACCGCCACCAACAGAGACAAGGGATTGTTCCACCACCAGTGCAGAACCACAACTTTGAGATCAAGCTGGGAATGATCAACCTTGTCCAGAACAAGATGTTCCATGGATTGCCAAGTGAAGACCCCATTGACCACCTTGATGAGTTTGATAGGCTTTGTGATTTGACAAAGATCAATGGTGTCTCTGAAGATGCCATCAAGCTGAGACTCTTTCCTATGTCTCTAGCTGACAAAGCTCACCAATGGGAGAAGAGCTTGCCCCATGGCACAATCACCACTTGGGATGAATGCAAGAAGGCCTTTCTTGCTAAGTTTTTCTCCACCGGTCGCACAGCCAAGCTTAGAGGAGAGATATCCAGCTTCATCCAGCGAAACAATGAGACATTCGCAGAGGCTTGGGAGAGGTTCAAAGGCTACACAAGTCAGTGCCCACACCATGGATTCAACAATGAATCACTACTCTCCACTCTTTATAGAGGATGCTTGCCTAGGTATAGGGAGATGCTAGACACAGCTAGCAATGGGAACTTCCTCAACCAGGATGTAGATGATGGCTGGCAACTTGTGGAGAACATAGCTAACTCAAATGGAAGCTATGGAGAAGAGTATGATCGCACCAACCGGAGCTCGACCCACCACTCGATCGAGTCAGACGAAAAGTTGAGAAAAGATGTTAAGGCATTGAATGAGAAGTTGGATAAGCTGATCCTAGCTCAGTCCACAATGAAGAAAGTCAACTTTGTGTCTGCTGAGGAGATGGAACCAGTCCAAGAAGGGGAGGATACACAATTTGCTGAGGTATGCTACATGAGCAATGGGCAAGGAGGTTACAACAAAGGATACTATAACTACAAGTCCAACCCTGCCATGTCATACCGCAACACTGATGTTGCTAACCCTCAGGACCAAGTATATCCTCAACAACAAGCAGCTCGATCGAGTCAAGGTGCCACAACATGGGTATGGTCAAAAGAACAATTACCAAGGACCACAAGGCACTTTCCCTGGACAACAAATGAATATCCCACCAGGCTTCCCCCACCAACCGCCCCAGCCTGCACCTTCACAAGAGAATGAGCTCAAGGCAATGCTAAAGCAACTACTTCAAGGGCAAGCTGATGGGGTAGTGGACACAAGCAAGAAGCTAGCTGAAATAAACTCTAAGATCGAGAACCTCAACACAAGGGTTTACTCTCTGGAGAATCATGCTTCTTCTGTTGCTGCTGCTACAAAGCAAGGACAACTACCTGGTAAAGCTATTCAGAACCCCAAGGAACAGTGCAAGGTCATCTTCACTCAAGAAGGACTTGTTGAAGAAGAGGATCAAGAAAGGGTCATTGAAGATTTTTGTTTACTGCTGAATGATGAAGAGATTGTTGCTGCTGAGGCTCCTGGAGTCCAGATTGATCAACCAGAAGTGCATGCACCTACTGTGGCCATTCACACTTCACCAGTTGAGCTCGCACGACAAGCTCGATCGGCAGCTCGATCGAGTCCAACTCTAGCTCGATCGAGTCCGACCTCTTCTGTCCCAAGCCTGTTTTGCTTGATCCTTAACCGGTTGCCGCTTCCTCGTCTCGCCTACTTAGTCAAGGTCACAAGGAAGTGATTCACAAGTTCAGAAGAGATCTCAGTGGGATTGGAATTGAGTTGCCTCTATGGATAGCATGAGTGAGGCATTTGATCAAATGCAAATGGTCAAGGATGTTCTAGCCAACAGTGATAAAGTTTCAGAGGTCCTACAAGAGTCTACTCATCAGTTCAACCTGCTTACTTCACCCACCTTCCTACCAAAGGTCAAGGATCAAGGGAAATTCACTCTCCCTTGCACACTTGGGCATCTTGAGATTGACAATGCCTTAGTGGATTCTGGAGCAAGCATCAATCTGATCTCTCTCTCCATGGCAGAGAAGCTAGGCATAGCTGGAGCCTTGCAGCGCCCTACTACTTCAATCATGTTTGGAGATGCAACTTCTAAGTCTCCTCTTGGAGTGTTCAAGAACTATCACTTGAAAATTGGAGAATGCATCATCCAAACTGATCTCACTGTGATGGAAATGGAAGAAGAGAAGGATCTTGCCTTGTTATTGGGAACCCCTTTCCTTAGTACAGTTGGCGCTTCAATAGACTTTCACAAGCAAGAAGTGATCCTTCACAAGGTGAATAGTTTGGTGTCATATCGCTTGCAGCCTAGAGGTTCAGACTTTTGTGCCACAATTGACAGTACCAATCTCAGTTCTAAGAGTCATGGAGCTACAAAGGTTGTGAAGGAAAGGGTTGACAAAGGAACCAAGAGTTGGGAAGGATAAGGATGAGAGAGGACCAAGGATTGAGAAGCCACGTCTTGAGAGGGCTAGAGTTGAGAAACCACGATCTGATAGGCCAAGAGCTGAGGACTTGTTCAAGCCCCTTGTGTGCTTGATGAAGAGAGCCTTCAAGCTTTGTTTGATGAGCCACTAGGAAGGGCTCTAAAAGAAGGGGAGGATGCAGCCTCTAAGGCAAGACCAGGAGATAAAAGAAAGGATCCACCAGCTCAGGCCCCTTCAGTCAAGCCATCTCAGCTCACAATGACTTGTTCCCCACCAAGTTTGAAAATGGGAAGATTGAGTACAAGATAAGGTACAAGGGGAGATCAAGGCCATTCTCTAGAGCCAAGGCCTTGGTGACTTCAGAACAGTCCAGGGACCCAACCAAGCTAAAGGAGCTTCTGTCTCAAGTCCTCACTATCACCCTTGATGGTGGGACTAGCTCAACCAATGCCTAAGAAGGTAAAGGTCAAGCTATGGGACCTTAAACAAGCTCACTTGGGAGGAAGTCCCATGTTTATCCTTGTACATACTCTATTTATGCAATTTCTATCTATCTTTATGTTTTAACCTTTCAATAAGTTAAGTTTAGGTGTCAAGGAGCCAGCTCGACCGAGCTCGATCGAGCTAGAAACCAGGGCAACTCGATCGAGTTCCACAACTCGACCGAGGTAAGTTTTTGAATTTCAAATTCATAACCGTTTTCTTGGTCAAGGGAGTGGGTCCCACAAGCTGATTTTGGTCCCCCACTACCCTAATTGATCAGAGAATCCCTAGTTTCTTGTTCCCTCTTTATTTCATCTTTTAATCTCAACCACACATCTCAAACACTCCCTCTTCCCCATAACTCGATCGAACCCACTTCCTCTCTCCCACACTCTTAAATTTCTGAAATCATCCATCTCTCTCTTCACCACAAGAAAATCGAATTTCAATCTCTCTCTTAAGTTTTTGCGATTTCATGTTCATCTCTTGTTTTGCTTGAGTTTTTGTTTACTGCTCTTCAATCCATCATTCAAGCAAGGTATGAACCCTAAACCCTTACCTCATCTCGATTCCTTTTGCTTGTTTCTCTTGATTTTTGATTGCATGTGTCCCTTGTGGACTTGTTATTGAGAATTGCTTTCATATTTCGCCTCTGCCTGTATACTTGTTAATTTGCTCACCTCACCTCTGTTTTGCCTTTAAACTTGTTGCATGTGCTTGAAAGGTTGAATTTGAGTTTGGTAATGGTTAGGTTGCTATGTTTTCACTAGAATTGCTCATTGTTCCATTTACTAGTTGTTCTTGGTTCAATTTGATTGATTAGCATCCTTTCCAGCTCTTAATACTTGAATTAGGTTCGGTTATACTCTGTTTTCACCCAACTCGATCGAGTTTGTCACTCGAGTTTTTTGACTCGATCGAGCTGAGTGTCGAGTTGACCAAACCGATCATTACAACTCTAATTCTTTGAACTTTTTGATGCATTTCAGGGACCAATCTAAGATGTTGAGAGGTGAAGGAAGCAAGCAGGCAATTTACTTAGTTTTAGCACATCTTTTATGCATCTTTTACATAGTTTTAGCTTCCATTTGCATCATATCTTGTTCCTTTTCTCTTCTTATGCATTCATGTTAGTTTTAGGTTGCATTTGCATACATATGCATGTTTGGTCCTTTGAAATAGGTCTTTTGGAGCATTCTGGAGCATATGGGACATGAGGAGCATGGAGGGACTTGGCACATGGAAGCAGCTCAACTGGATACGCAAAGGAAGAAGGGAGAAGCCATCTTGAAGACCAGCTCGACCGTCTACTCGACCAACCGGTCGAGTTCCTCAACTCGACCGGCCAAGCTTCAACTCGATCGAGCTGAGAAGTCAACAGTCAAACCCGAAAAATGTTGCTTCCCCCTTGACTTTCCTTTGACCCTAAACCTAATCCTCTTGTATTTAAAGGCTCTAAGCCACGAAAAAACCAAAGCTTTAGATTATCTTTGTTTTAGTTTCTTTTAATTTTTGTCTTTTACTTTTTAGAACTAATCCCATCTTTGTGTTCTTGAAGCTCTTGCTTCTTGAATCCTAGATCCTGGATAATCTCTTTGTATTTGCACTTGCTTATTTCAATAAAAGTTGTTTAATTTCATCTCCTCTTTCTTATGATGTCTCTTTTATTGCATTTGCTTGTGTTTACATTCATGTGTAGTGAGTAGTTACCCATTAGGGTTTGAGATGGGATAGATTAGAGGTTTCATATGCTTAATCCTTCTAGCTTATGGTCTTAATCTAGATTCTCTCTCTTTTGGATAGATCTTAAGGCTACATGACCACTACCCCTGGCTTGTAAGTCCTTAGGCGATCCCCACACGGAAGTGATGGCATTCGCTGGAAAAGATCCACTAAGAGCTCCAATATCTCTTGCTCTAGACAATAGAGGTCTAAGGGGTTGGATGGATTAGTTTGGGCAATGATCCTATAGCCTCCAAGGTTTGATTCTCACTGGCTAACCCCCTGTTTCTGAGATCATTCCTTGGTTGATAGCCTCCACCTTGGGAAAGGGTTGGCTAGGCATTGAGAAGCCCAATATCAAGAGAAGCCTTGATACAAGGAGTTTTAAGAGCTAGATTGATTAAGTGTAGATTCCTTTGATTGCAAAACCCTGTCTTGAACCCTAATTCTCTTTATCTTGTTAAAGTCGTCACCTTTAGCTTTGTTTGTCTCAACTCGTCCCTAAACTCGATCGAGCTGGTACTCTGCCACTCGACTCGAGCCTTGGTCGAGCTACTACTTCACTGCTTTGTTTACTTTTATTGCACTGCTTTTCATTTTTAGGTTGTTAGTGTTACTTCAAATCTATAACTGCTTGCTTGACTTCCTGGTTGTTTCATATTCTCATAGAGTGACAAGTTTCCCATTTTGGATTGATAACCCTTTATACTCAATGACTATGATGGTTAAGGGAATTGTTGACTGTGTTTGTGTTTGCATCTTACCACCTCATCTTATTACCACTGTTTGCATTCCACCTCATATCTTATCATTCATCATTCATATCATATCACACACACACGTAAAATCCTATCATCATCAGGGTTCATACCTTGCTTGAATGATGAATTGAAGAACAGTAACTAGAACCCAAGCAATTTAGGATGAAGAACAATGGAAATCGCAAAAACTTAAGAGAGAGAGAGATTGAAACTTCGATTTTTCTTGTGGTGATGAGAGAGATGGACGATTTTCAGAATTTTGAGTGTGGGAGAGTGAGAGAGTTGGTTCGATCGAGTTATGGGGAAGAGGGAGTGTTTGAGATGTGTGGTTGAGATTAAAAGATGGTTTAAGAGGGGACAAAAGCTAGGGTATTTCTGATCGAATTTAGGGTTGTGGGGGACCAAAATTTACTTGTGGGACCCACCCCTTGACCAAGAAAACGGTTAGAATTTGAAATTCAAAAACTTACCTTGGTCGAGTTGTGGAACTCGATCGAGTTACCCTTGTTTCTAGCTCGATCGAGCTGTCGGTCGAGCTGGCTCCTTTGTCACCTAAACTTAACTTATTGAAAGGTTAAAGACATAAAACTAGATAGAAATTGCAATAAATAATATGTACAAGGATAGACATGGGACTTCCTCCCAAGTGAGCTTGTTTAAGGTCCCATAGCTTGACCTTTACCTTTTAGGTTGGTTGAGCTAGTCCCACCATCAAGGGTGATAGTGAGGACTTGAGACAGAAGCTCCTTTAGCTTGGTTGGGTCCCTGGATTGTTCTGAAGTGACCAAGGCCTTGGCTCTAGAGAATGGTCTTGATCTCCCCTTGTACCTTATCTTGTACTCAATCTTCCATCTTCATACTTGTGGGGAACAAGGTCATAGTGAGCTGAGATGGCTTGACTGAAGGGGCCTGAGCTGGTGGATCTTTTCTTTTATCACCTGGTCTTGCCTTAGAGGCTACATCCTCCCCTTCCTTTTAGAGCCCTTCCTAGTGGCTCATCAAACAAAGCTTGAAGGCT